TCCTGCACCATCCTCACAGTCTTGCTACGTTTGAGCCCATTTTTGCAGTCACTGTGTCTGTCTGGTGGAGAGGCTTCTTTTTCATGAACTCTCTAGTTTACCAAGCTTGATGTCCTTCTCCAGGGACTGGTCCAACGTACATGAGACAGAGTCTCAGCATCCTCGCTTCTAAAGAGCTTTCTGGCTGTATGTTTTTCAAGATAGGTTTGTTTGTTCTTCTAGCAGTTCATGTATAGTATGTACAGTTGATATTCTTCACCAACACCATAATTCAAAGGTATCAGATCTAATTCAGACTTCCTAATTTGCCCAGCTTTCACATGCTTATGAGGTTATTGAAACTACCATGGTTTGGGTCAGGTGCACCTTAGTCCTCAAACTGACATCTTTTCTTTCTTTCAACACTTTCAAGGGCTCTTTTGAGCAGATTTTCCCAGTGCCTGATGTTATTTCTACCAGCCGTCTGTCAGTTTATTGTACTGCAGTGGCTGGAATGTTACGGTGATGCTGGAAGCTATGCCACCAGTATTTTAAATACCAGCAGGGTCACCCATGGTGGGCAGGTCTCAGGAGAACTTTCAGACTAAGACAGACTACTTATGAAGTTTACCCATTGCAAACCTTATGAGTAATAACAGAACACTGACAGATAGTGTACTAGAAGAGGAGCCCTTCAGGTTGGAATGTTCTCAAAATACGACTAAGAAAGAGCTGTCACCTCAAGTAGAGTTGATGTTATTGATGTGAATGGAACAAAACTTTTGGGACCTTCATTTTCTGATGGGACACAACTCAAAAATGAGGAGAAACAGCTGTAAACATCTATTAACCTTCAGAATATGGAATGTACAAAATTGGTAATTGCCAAAAATTAAATAAAACAAACAAAGATTGATATCGTAGACATTAATATGCTGAAATGGACTGGTATTGGCTATTTTGAATTGGACAGTTTACTATGTCAGGAACAACAGATTCAAGAGGAATAGTGTCACATCATCAAAAAGAGCATTTCAAGACTGATCTTGAAGTACAATGTTGTCTGTGATAGGATAATATCCATATGCCAACAAGGAAGACGAATTAATACCACTGTTAATCAAATTCACGCACCAACCACTAAAGCCAGTGAGCATGAAACTGAAGCAACTCTACTGTGGGTTAATGCGTCAGACTGCAAAAGCTGTTTGAACTGCAAGGTCAGCAGTTCAAGCTCACCAGCTGCTCCTCAGAAACCCTATACAGGGTAGCTCTGGGTTGGAATAGACTCAGTGGCACTTTAGAACAACAGCAACAACCAACATCTTCAGGCTGAAGTTGATCAAATAAATATACAATCAAGATGTATTGATAAATACTGGTGATTGGAAAGCAAAGGTTGGAAATAAAGATCAGTAGTTGGAAAATACAGCCTTGGTAATAGAAATAATGCAGAAGATCGTATGATAGAACTTTGAAAGGCCAACGACTTATTGTAACACTTTTTTTAAACAATATCTAAGGCAACCACAAGGAGCTTTGGAGGTATATTGGTTATGAGTTGGACTGCTAATCTCATGGTCAGCAGTTCGAAACTACCAGCAGTTCTGCAGGAGAAAGATGAGGCTTTCTGTTCCTATAAAGATTTAGAGCCTCGGAAACCCTATAACCCGACTCCATTGCACATAACCACCACCACCACCAAGGTGACCATACACATGGACCTCACCAGATGGAATACACAGAGATCAAATTGACTACATCTGTGGAACAGCTCACTCTCATCAGCCAGAAGGAGAGTCAGGAATAGGAGAATGCTGTGGGATGCATGGCTGATTGCCTCCCAAAACAACTGCCCCCCTTGTCATGAGACCAGAGAAGTGATTGGTGCCTGGCTACCATTGCTGACCATTTTGATCAAAGATTTTATAGAAGTATTTTTATCAAAAGAATAGGACTGCAGAGCAGAATTTCTAATTATCATGGCCTCTAGACTTCCTGGACCCATGGAGATTAGATGAACCCCTGAAACGGTTCTCCTGAGATAATCTTTAACCCTTAAACTGAGAAACATCCACGGAATTCTTAAACCAAACAGTAATTGATTTTAACTAGTAAAAAAGCCTTGTGCCTTGAGCACTATGCTATTTTAAGATCAATATGTGAACAAATTGACAACAGAAACTCAAAAAATTAGATAGGAACCTTGGGAGCAGTGAATTTATGTTAATGGGGGAGGAACAACGCAGAAAGTGAGAGGGAATATGATTGTACAACTCAAAGGATATGATCAGTGTTACTAACTGGTGCGTTATAGAAACTTGAATTGATGTGTATGTTCTCAACAACAAAAGCAAATTAGTTTTTTAAATTATAAATAATTTTATCAGAAAAGGTGTGCATCTCTTCACCATACTTACTCAGTGTGTATGCTGAGCAAATCCAACAAGAATCTGGGCTATATAGAGAACAGGGCATAGGGGTTGGTGGAAGACTCAGTAACAGCCTGTGATAAGCAGATGATCTAGCCTCGCTTACTGATGAAAATCAAAGACTGCAGCCTTGACCCTGGATTCCACCACAAGATAAGAAAACAGAAATCCTCACAGCTGGACAAATGAGCAACATCATAACAGGCGGAGAAGCAATTAAAGTTGTCAAGGAGTTCATTTTACTTGGGTCCATAATCGATGCCATGGAAGCAGCAGTCAAGAAATCAACCAACCTATTGCATTGATCTATAAAGGCCTCTTTAAAACCTTAAAAGCAAAGATGTCATTTAGATGACTAAAGTGCATCTGACCCAACTCTTGGTATTTTCAGTCACCTCCTGTGCCCGTGAAAGGTAGATGGTGAGTAAGGAAGGTGGAGGAAGACTGTTTGCCTTTGAATGATGGTGAAGACAAAAAATAGCGATTATATGATGGGCTGCCAGAACTGCTCCTTAGAAGCCAGCGTAGGGAGACTTCGTCTCACTTTGGATTTGTTATCAGGGGGAGCCAATCCCTGGTGAAGGACATGATGAAGTGGAGCGAGTCAGCAGGAAAAAAAAGAGGAGGACCTCCAAGGAGATGAGTTGAAACACTGGCTGTAACAATGTCGCTGAACAGTACACAGAGAAACTGCTGAATTGCTGTGTTTTGCTATGTATAAGGTTGCTTCCAAAAGTTCATGGAAATTTTTCATTTTCTTTTAAATCCTTATTTTTCCACAAACCTTTTGAAGCACCTTCGTATATTCTCAACAAAAACAAAATAGAATATAAATTTTAAATTTACCAGCAAAGGTGTGTGTCATGGTTGTGTCCTTTCACCATCCTTAGCCAGTCTGTATGCTGAGCAGATAATAAATGAAGTGGTTGGGAGGGTAGCATCTTGTTCTAGTGTACATGGGGTCACTGGGAGGCAGAACCAACTTGATGGCACCAAACAACCACAGGTCAGCTTCCGGGTTTCCTTTAGTGTCTGGGTAATACAGAGAGGGTTGTTGTTGTTAGGTGCCATCAAGTCAGTACCGACTAATAGCAACCAGAACACAACATAGCACAACAGAACGAAACACAGCCTAGTCTTGGGCCAACCTCACAATTGTTGCCACGCTTGAGTCCATTGATGCTGCCACTTGGCCAATCCATCTCGCTGGGAGTCTTCCTCTTTTTCTCTGACCCTCCACCTTACCAAACATGATATCCTTTTCCAGCGACCGGTCCCTTCTGACGATATTTCCGAAGTATGGCCATCCTGTTCTCCAAGGAGCACTCTGACTGTACTTCCTCCAACACAGACAGATCTTTTGGTTCTTTTGGTAGCCCATGGCACTTTAAATATTCTCCTCCAACACCATAACTCAAAAGCACCAATTCTCCTACGGTCTTCCTTACATTCACTTTCCAGATTGTGCATGCATATGAGGTTATTGAAAATACCATGGCTTGGGTCAAGCGCACCTTAGTCCTCACGCTGACATCTTTACTCTTCAACGCTTTAAAAAGGTCTTGAGCAGCAG